ACACGTGTGTGTATGTGTGTGTGTCTTCCTCCCTGTAGCAGACTAAGCTCATTGGAAGGTGAGGATTTTAATTTGTTCTCTGATTTCTCCTACAGTGCCTAGCACTATAGGCAGTGATAGCCTGACTCACCAGGAGCAGAGGCAGGAGGGGAACACAAGGCCTTCTGATTCTTCAAGAGCATGGAGGAGCTGCAGTGTTTGAAGAGCCAAAGCCCTGGCAATCCGTACACTGCCCAGTAGAGACTGGGGCAGGAGAGTAGCCCTTTAAGGGGGCCAGTCATGGGGGAATGTGGGACAGCCAGCAAGCAGGAGGCCCTCAGCCAGTTTAGAGCTCCAGCTGAGCTGTAGCAGGCAGAAAGCATTTGGGGAAATTTGGCTCCCAAAGGGTATTATGCTAGGTTTCTTCTAATGGGGCCACCCAAACTACACTGCTCAATTTCAGCAGTACTTATTGTTTGCCTATTATGTGCTAGGAACTGTAGGAGAAATCATGGAGAACAATTTAAAAATTAAAATCCTTGCCTTCCAAGGTACTCATTCTGGTAGAGGAAGACACACACACACACACACACAAGCATGCACACACGCATGTGTACATCACACCACCACAAGACTACCAGGGGAAACGTGGTACTTGGAGGAAGTAGGAGATGGAGACTCAGGGAGGGCAAGGAATAGATCAGAAAAGGCTTCCTGGGGGGAGGGTGGTAGAACTTGGCAGGTGTGTCAGGAGGGGAAGCGTATGTGAAGAGGGAAACGGTGTGAGTACTGGCAGCATGCTGTCATGCAGGGGTGTGACCTGCCATCCTCCCACACAGCCTGGGTAGTGTAGGTGTTCCCACTAAGCTGATCCTGGAAGCCAACTGGCAGAGGACTCAGGGTTAAGGGAAAAGGAGAGGTCCTACTTCAGCCCTGAGCCCATGTGCCGTGCTCGGTCCCAGCTCCATGTAGGGGTGTGATGGGGGTTATGGAGCTGCCTGATCTTAGCTATGCTCTTCGGTTTGTGTGCAGCTCCCTTGGAATCTTATGGGGAGGACAAGGCTGCTCAAGGGCAGATTCTAGCATTTCTGGGTCTCCCTGGTACCCCAAAGCCCACTTTAAATCCTTAAAAGTGGGGCCATGTTTTGAGACAGGTGGGTAGAGGATGGTCTCATGAATGAAAACATGAAAAAACTTCTGCATGGACCATTGCAATTGTCACTTATGCTTTGTGTAAATACTTATCCGATGTCTCGAAAGCACTAGAAAAAGAGTTGCCTAACTTACTCCTTGCCATGTCTCCAGGCCCAGTCCAGTGCCTGCACCTCATCCACAATTCATATGGATAAATGATGTTACACAGGATTATTCTGGTGCCTCTAGTTCACAATTAATATTGACAAATGATGTTATACAGGATTAATCTAGTGAGTGGTGTGTGTGTCTGTGTATATAGGAGTGAGTGGAAGAGTTGAGCATGGGGCAGGGAAGAAGAAACAAGGTGATAAGTTTGATTTTGACTGGATAAATGAATCCTTAAAGAAAAGGGGGAGGCTGGGTTTGGTGGCTCACACCTGTAATCTCAGCACTTTGGGAGGCCGAGGCAGGAGATCACTGAACCTCAGGAGTTTGAGACCAGTCTAGGCAACATAAGGGTACCCTGTCACGTCTACAAAAAATAAAAAAAAAAATTAGCCAGGCATGGTGGTTTGTGCCTGTAGTCCCAGCTACTCAGGAGGCTGAGGCGGGAGGATCACTTGAGCCTAGAAGGTCGAGGCTGCAGTGAGCTGTGATTGCACCATTGCATTGCAGCTTGGGTGACAGAATGAGACCCTGTCTCAAAAAAAAAAAAAAAAAAAAAAGTAAGTCTCAAAATTACCAATGGGAAAAGGATACATGGTGTTTAAAAGATGGGCTTTGGAATCAGACTTCTGCTCAGCTTCAGTTCTTAGACTTTCCAGCTGTGTGAGCTCAGGCAGATTACTTAACCTTTCTGTGGCTCAGCCTCCTTATCTGCAAACTGGGGGTTGATAACGCTACCCAGACGGAAATATCATATGTAGAGCCCAGGACCACCTAGGATGGCTGTCACGATAACGATGTCAGGAGTACTGGTGCACACCAGAAGTCTTTCAGGCCAAAGCCCCATGTATTTGCTGTGCCCATTCTCTGTCAGCCTTGAGCTCACCCTCCTGCCTCTGTCTTTGCAGTCTCCTCAGGCAGACCTACTGTGCATCCCAGCTGTAGGCCCAACAGGCTTTAGTTCCCAGACCCATCCCAACCTGAGATCCTGTGGGCCTGACCCTAAGCACAGTTCTCAGCCTGGAGATGGCTCTCCCTGCCCTGGGTCTGGAAAATCTCCATGTCCTGCGGCTAATCTGCCTCACTGCGCTTTCCACAAATTATGAAGCACAAAGCCAGTGCAAGCCACCTGGACACAAAGCCAATCAGCTTCAGGAACGCCGAGGAAGGGTGTGGATTCCGCAAGTCCCTCATCCGCACGGAGCCGGCTCTGCCAACACCCACCACCACCACTCCAAACTTCCTCTCGGGCTGAAACACAAGGGACCAAGGTGGGGTTTGAAAATACTGCAGACATCCAGTGGAGAACAGCAAAACAAAGGAGCTGGCAGTGTCCTGATGAGCAAGAATGAAAGCCAGCCCACAACACAGAGGAAGCCATGGCATCAGGATGGGATGAGACATTCCCCAAAACGGGGGCCTGGAGAAAAGTCAGTCCCACCAAAACCTGTTCTTGAAGGTTCTTCATCATGTCTTTGGGTTGAAAACCTTCTGAGCACCCACAGAAAATGTTCCCCCAATTTGGCTCTCCACTTCTACTGCCCCATCTCCAATAATGAGAGGCTTTCCTCATTAAGCCAGACCCAGCCCAGGGCGTGGCACCTCTGCCTTCCCTGAGTCCCTCTTCCAGCAGACACATGAATCTGATACTGCTGGGAATCATTCAGAGGCCACAGCTGCTTCATGAGATGCTGAGAGAGGAGGCAAATGGGCAAACCATGATTAGTCACCTATCTCAGCTTGGGACCCATAAGCTTTTACTCTTCACTACAACCTTCTGAGTTACACATTTAAGATCTGTGGTATCTTAAGTATTATTTAAGTGCACTGCTGGAGGCTATATGTGAACAGTATTACAATGAAAAATAAAATGGACTTTGAAGTTATACAGCAACTCAATATAATCAAAACTGACAAAAATTATCTCCATGCACCTGGCATAGTGGCTCACTCCTGTAATCCCAGCACTTTGGGAGGCTGAGGCAGGCAGATCACCTGAGGTCAGGAGTTTGAAACCAGCCTAGCCAACATGGAGAAACCCCATCTCTACTAAAAATACAAAAATTAGTTGGGCATGGTGGCAGGCACCTGTAATCCCAGCTACTTGGGAGGCTGAGGCAGGAGAATCACTTGAACCTGGGAGGTGGAGGTTGCAGTGAGCCAAGATTGTGCCACCGCACTCTGGCCTAGGTGACAGAGTAAGACTTGATCTCAAAAAAAAAAAAAAAAAAAAAAAATGGCTGCATGCACACTGTGGTTCATGCCTGTAATCCCAGCACTTTGGGAGGCCAAGGTGTGTGAATCATGAGGTCAGGAGTTCGAGACCAGCCTGGCCAACATGGTGAAACCCCATCTCTACTAAAAATATACAAAATTAGCTGGGTGGGATGGTGGGTGCCTGTAATCCCAGCTACTAGGGAGGCTAAGCCAAGAGAATTGCTTGAACCCAGGAGGCAGAGGTTGCAGTGAGCTGAGATTGCACCACTGCACTCCAGGCTGGGTGACAGTGCGAGACTTTGTCTCAAAAAACAAAAACAAAAACAAAACAAACTCCATGCATCCCTTAAACTCACTTCTTGGATTTCTCCGAGCACAGAAACATGAATGTCACCTCAGATTTGCCCCTTTCCTTCACTTTTGTACCCAGTTGTCACCACTGCCCACTGACCCTGTCCCTCTTCCTGTGCCCATTGCTCTTGTCGTCCTCCAGAATTTCTTCCAAATGTTTGGGGATTTGCCAAATATTTGTCTATTATTGATTTATCATTTAATCCCACTGTGGTCAGAGAACATTCTTGAAATGATTTGAATCCTTTCAGACTTGAGGGTTTTTATGATCCAGGATGTGGTCTATGTTGGTTGATGTTCTGTGCACACCTGAAAAGACTGTGTATCTGGAATTGCTGGGTGGAGTGTTCTACAAGTCTGTGAGGTCAAGTCGGTCGACTGTGTTGTTCAGGTCTTCCATGTCTTTCCTGATTTTGTCTCCTTGTTCTAGCAATTATTGAGGATAGTGAAATCTGCATATAATTGTATACAACTGTGTATTTCTCCTTTCAGTTCTATCAGTTTTGACCCACATATTTTGAAATTCTGTTATAACATGTTTAGGATGTTATTAGATACATACATGTTTAGGATGGTTACGTCTTTTTATTAATTGACCCCTTTGTTTTCTAAAATGACCATTTTTATTCCTGGTAATATTTTTTGCCCTATAATTTATTTTGTCTGATATTAACAATCCATTCCCAATTTCTGTTGATCAGTGTTAGCATGACACCTTTTTTCCCAACCTTTTACATTTAATCTGTATGTGTTTTCGTATCTATAGTTAGTTTCTTGTAGGCAGCATACAATTAGGTCTTGCTTTTTTTAACTTAATCTAACAATCTCTGCCTTTAGTTGAAATGTTTAGACAATTTACATTGTGATTATTGATATGGTTGGCTTGCCACACAAATTCTATAGCAATCTTGCTATTTGTTTGATCTGTTTTTTTCCCTCTTTTCCTGCCTTATTTTGAATTCATTAGAATATTTATTATGATTCCATTTTATCCCATTTGTTGGCTGTTAGCTGCAACTCTTTTTCAGAAGCTAAGGCCTTTATATTATATATTTTATTTACCATAGTCTACTTTAAAGTAATATTACGCGCTACTCCATATATACTATAAAGAAGCTGACAACAGTACACTTCCATTTCTTTTCTCCTAGACCTTGTACTGTTGTTACACAGTTCAATATTGAAGGAGAGATTCTCCAGAGTTTGCCCAGAAGCCAGGATGTCTGGAAATAATCCCAGCCTCTGGAGAGTGATTCATGGAGCCTGACTGCCCACTGCTGCTAACCCGTAGACTGGCCTTGGCTCACACATCTGACTGTTCCTCTGAGTAAAAGCCTCTCTTTCTTCAGCCTTGCAAGTTTCCTGAGGGTGCCTCTAACAAGCGGACTTCACATATAAAAGGGGACCCTGAGAGACCTACTTCCTGGCTTCTCTTCTGGAAGTCAGGGAAGAGTACAGGAAGGAGTCACCACAGTGCCCAACTGACAACTGACAGTTTCACCAAGTAAGTCCTTTTTGGGTTACAAGTCAAGTTTTTTTTTTAATTTGGTAATTTCTAATTACCAAAAAGCAGTAAGACAGCCGCTGGAGAAATCTGTACAGCCAAAACACATATTCATGATCAAATATTAGTATTTGTTTCCCTTTCAATCAAGAAAAGAAGACTAGCAATCCCTTTATTAAACATTGATGGCATTCTTACAGTTAACTACCAAATTACTAGATTCCAGATAATAACCACGATGTGCTTCTAACCAGCTTAAAAAAAATCCACAAGGTTAAGAAACAGCTCCATTATCTATAAATAAGCCAAACTGCTTTAAAAATTTAATTAGTTAATGATGCACAAACTTGCCTATGAAACCTGGCCTGCACAGTATGTCAGACTAAATTATAAACTGCTTTAGGGTTTGGTTGTCATATTATTGCCTTGCAAAACTGACACACAGGGACAAGATATGGGTGAGAGGCCAGGCGCAGTGGCTCACACCTGTAAACCCAGCACTTTGGGAGGCTGAGGTGGGCGGATCACATGAGGTCAGGAGTTCCAGACTAGCCTGACCAATATGGTGAAACCCTGTCTCTACTAAAAATATAAAAAATTAGCCCAGTTTGGTGGCGGCAGGTCCCTATAATCCCAGCTACTTGGGAGCCTGAGTCAGGAGAATCGCTTGAATCCAGGAGGCAGAGGCTGCATTGAGCCGAGATTGCACCACTGCCACTCCAGCCTGGGTGACAGAGTGATACTCTATCTCAAAAAAAAAAAAAAAAAAAAAAAAAAAAGAGTGAAAACACTGGTATCTTAATAGTTAAGCTCCTCTTAGGGGAAGAACTTTATTTTTGAGAAAAATCACTTGTTAGGCCTTTTAATGTGAATCTCTTCATTATGTGAGGGATGTTGAAGGCGCGTTCTGAGGGGAAACTGCAATCAGAGATGGCTAGATCACATTGTAGCAGGAGCTAAAACTTTGTGGGCAGGAACCATTAGGAGGCAGAGGAAAAGCGAAAGTACACAAGAGTTAGCAAGAGGCTGAAGTCTGCAGAGAGGGAAGCCAGTGAGAAATGACCAGTAGAGGAGGGAGCAATGGACTTCTAGACACCGGGATGTCGATAATTCCATTTTCAGTTGTCTGCTGTGCTCTGCTGTCCTGAACTTTTGGGAAAATGCCTCTACAAACAGCCCTAGAGAGGTAGTATTTAAGGAACAAAGAACAGGAGCAGTTTTGAGACAGCAGAAAAGGACACATAAGCACAGCAAGGTGACTCAAAAACTCACTCGAGTCCAAATCACAGTCACAGAGTGAGCCTGTGTCTCCAGCGTTGGACTCAGAGAAATTGGTGTTTGGCACCCCAGACACGAAAATGGAGTTCACAGAAAGTCAGGATTAAGAGAATGTGCTCTGCTAACTTAGAAACGAAATTTTTTTTTGAGATGAAGAGGGGAGAAGAGAATGTAAAATCACTGTATAAGAACTTCAAGGTGTGAGGCAGGAGGGCAGGTGCTGGGCAGGCGGAAGGAGGGACCATGCAGTCAGGCAGAACAAGCTAGTCATTTTCATCTACTATTTGAAAGAATTAAAACAAGTGTGATAACACATTGGTTGGCCTGGGAAAACAGGCATGTTTGTATGTTGTAGGAGGATAAGAAAAACCTAATTTATGGAGAGCAAGTTGGAAATATTTACTATAATTTAAAATGCAAATGCACTTTGCCCTGGTAAATCCAACTGTAACAATATGTCCTACAGAGCTACACAAGTCAAGTGACTTAGGCTTACTGCAGCCTTGCTTATAACAAGCGAAAGATGGAAATAATGTGTATGTCATTAATAACAGGCTGGCTATGAAAGTTATGATGGACTCGTGAAATAGAGTATTACACAGATATTAGAAAAATAAAAGAAGAAGGAAGCCCTTTATGAATCGAAAGGGACTGTCCTCCAAGACAGATTATCGGGTGAAAGACGCAAAGACTAGTGTGCACTGTGTGCAAGTCTGTGTAGTAGCAGGAGGGTAGCAGCCAATGGAAAAAGATCCTGCCAATGTTGAGAATCTCTCTGAAGGGACAGCCCAGAAACCTGGAACACTGAAACTGGCGACATGCTCTTGCTGGGAGCATGAAAAACAGAGTGACTGGGAAACAGGGATAGAGGGATAGAGGGCTTCCCATAGTAAATTCTTTTTTCTTTTTTTCTTCTTTGAAGTTTAGAATCACACAAATGTATTCATTATCTAAAATACAAACAACCACTGAAAACAGAGGTAGACATCAGAGGGCTGCTCCAAGGTGAGAACCCTGCAGGGTACAGCGCCTTGGCTCACTCCCATCTCCCTCTACAGCGCTCAGCATCCTGGCCCCTGCCCTGTCCAATGACCCCAAGCCCCCCTGACTGCTCTAACCCTTCCTGGCCCTGCAGCAATTGGTTTTCACTCCTATGCCTCCCTGCTTCACCATGGGTCATCCAATACCTCTTGTCACCACATTCAAGGGCTTTTCCTCAGCCACATGCTCCTGGGCTTCAGACATGGGCGACCCTTCCCTGGACCTTCTTCAAACTCACTCCTTCCTTTCTTCTCTAACCTCATGCTGCTGAGGTTTTCTTTTCACATTTCATTTTCTTCATTTTGCCAGAGATGTGCATATTTCCCAAAGCCCAATCCTCATCCCTCTATTCTTCTCTCTCCCATGTATCTCCAGAGTGTGGAGGTCCCTTATTCTTAGGGTTTCCATGACCACCTCTATGCCAAAGACTCTAGCATCCTGAGCTGTGGGCCATCCTCTCTTCCAAGCCGCATTCCCAAGGCATTTCAACCTGGCTGTCCCACCTGCCCTGGATCTTCACACTCTGTGCTAAATTCCAATCATCCACCCCTCCTGACAGCTGTCCTCTGAACTTCTGGGCAAAAGCCAGTAGCTCTAGGAATCCTGGTATCACCCAGCTTTAAATGCTTGGAGTCATTCCTGAATTCAGTAAACATCCTGAGATCAAAGGCCAACTGTGGCTGATAGTCCTTCTGTGCTTTCTCCCTCCAGCCAGCCTCTGGGCCACAGCAAGTTTTGCTTGAAATTTTCTGTCATATGATTTCCTTCCTCTGCATTTTCACTGACCCACTTAAGCTCTGGAGTGCATTAGAAGATTATTTAACAGTCTCTGACTCATCCTATCATTTAGTCAACTGACATTTAGTGAAGATAAGCTATGCATGGGGCATCAGGCCAGATGCCCTGGGGATGCTAAGATGAGCGAGGCACCTGGACAGCTACAGTCAAAGCAGGAGGGGAAGGTAACAAATAAAAATATACATAAAGCACAATGGAAATTCGTAAGAGGGAGGTATGAATTCCCGAGAGGGGACTCTGAGGAAACTGTTCGTGGAGTACAAAGGACATTTGAACTGGATGGACAGGATTAGCTAGATGCAGACATGGACAAAGGCACTCATGGGTCAAAAACATCAGGGCTTAGGTCCCCATTATGCCCCTGTGACTTAGAGCAAGTGACTTACTGCTCATTTTCCTCATCTACAAAACAGGTAACAATAGCATCTTGCTCTTAGGCTTTTTGTTAAGACTAAATGGATGCACGTTCTGGGCTGCTGTGTAGCACATTAACTATATATCGTGAATATGAAGAAAAATGAAGAATGAGATATAAATGATATAAAACATAATTATGTACATTAAAAGGATGTCAGGCTGGGCACTGTGGCTCACACCTATAATCCTAGCACTTTGGGAGGCTGAGGCGGGTGGGTCACTTGAGGTCAGGAGTTCAAGACCAGTCTGGCCAACATGTCAAAACTCTGTCTCTACTAAAACAAAACGAAAATTAGCTGGGTGTGGTGTCTCACACCTGTAATCCCAGCTACTCGAGAGGCCAAGGCAGGAGAATCGCTTGAGCAGGGAGGTAGAGGTTGCAGTGAGCTGAGATCACACCACCGCACTCCAGCTTGGGTGACAAGAGTGAGACTGTCTCAGAAAAAAAAAAAAAGTATATCACACGGGAGATGATATATGTTGCCAGGGGTGAGTAGCAAGGAGAGGTTGTGACTATAAAGGAAGGGGCAACAGAAGGGAATATTTTGGGGTGAGGGTCTACATTTTGATATCCTGGGGTGATTGTTATGCATGTATTTTTAACTGGTAAACCTGTACACCAAAAAAAAAAAAAAAAAAAGAGTTAATTGTACTGCATACAATTTTTTTTTTTTTATTCTGAGACAGAGTCTCACTCTGAAGCCCAGGCTGGAGTGTAATGGCATGATCTTGGCTCACTACAACCTCTGCCTCCTGGGTTCAAGTGATTCTGCCTCAGCCTCCCGATTACAGGCATGTGCCACCATGCCCAATTAATTTTTGTATTTTCAGTAGAGATGGGGTTTCACTACGTTGGCCAGGCTGGTCTCAAACTCCTGACCTCAGGTGATCTGCCTGCTTCGGCCTCCCAAAGTGCTAGGTTTACAGGTGTGAGCCATGGTTCCCAGCCTACTGTATATAAATTTAGAAGGTATTTGCACAAAAACAAAATTTTTCATGAATATACACAAATAAAAAAGGAAAGCACTTAATTCATTAGCATAGTTGTCTTTGGCAGGGTGAGAATGAAGATGGAGAGAAAAGGGATACAAATATGAGTAAGTCTGAGAGCAGGGCCTTGCACAGCACCAGAGAGGCAATGTGTCAGGAACCGGGCATGCGGACCATCGCTCTGCTTGAGGCCGCCCCCGTCTTCCAAAAAGGAGAGTGAATGACCTAGAGGAGGGTGAGAAAAGTAAAGGAGGAGAAGAAAAGCATTAGGTAAATGAGGAAGTGATGAGGAGGCAGAAAGCAGGGGAAGAAAGGGACAGATTGGAAAGATATGGTGGTCTCACTTAGCGAGAAGTGTGGCATTAGTACCACACTTCCATTTTTACCATTAGAGCCATCAAGCCGGGTCTAGAGTCTGGCACAGTGTAGTGTCACATGAATTTCGGTGACTACATCAAAGCAATGGCAGGATTTATAGTCTTGGTCACCGGCTGCTGGTGTGTGGGAACAGAGTGAGGGGGCTGGAGTGCTGGGCCCACTGATGGCCCAGCAGGAGGAGCAGATTTGGGGCAAGTGAAAGCAGCAAGTCCAGCCTGGGCTGTAACGGGCTTGGGTTCTGACTGAGGCAGCTATGACTGAGATGAGTGACAGGCTGCTGGATGTACTTGTCTGTGTGAACAGATCCATCTGGGACTTCCCCAAACACACAAGTGACAAGGAAAGCTGTGGGGGCAGATGAGCTCCTAGGGCAGCAGGCAGGGCGCTGGGAAACACAGACTCTTAAGGAGTAGGGAGAAGAGGAGCCGAAGAGAGACTCTGAGTAGTGGCCTGAGAAACAGGCAGAAACCCTGGGGTGCCAAGGGGGCATTTCAAAAAAAGTGTGGTCAACAGTGTCATATGCTTAAGGAAAAAGTTTCTGCCAAATTTGGTAATGTGGGGTTCGCTGGTACCTTCCCTGAGACACAGAGCAGTGAGGACAGTCAGGCTGCAGTGGACTGGACAGAAAAGGGGGAAGGCAGTGTGACACCAAGCAACAAATGTGTACGGAACAGCTGGGCATGGCGGCTCCTGTCTGTAATCCCAGCACTTTGGGAGGCCGAGGTGGGAGGATCACTTGAGATCAGGAGTTCAAGACCAGTCTGGCCAATATACTGAAACCCTGGCTCTACTAAAAATACAAAAATTGTCCAGGCATGGTGGCACTCCTCTAATCCAAGCTACTTGGGAGACTGAGGTGGCAGAATCGCTTGAACCCTGGAGGCAGAGATTGCAGTGAGCCAAGATCATGCCACTGCACTACAGGCTGGGCAACAGAGTGAGGCCTGATCTCTAAATAAATAAATAAATAAATAAAAAGATATGTAAGGAACAGCAGAAGAAGACCCAAGTCTAGGAATCTTCTTACAAGGTTAAGAGGAAAAGGCCAGCAGTGATCACTGATGACGGATGGAACTCTTCCTGGGCCAGGTTGTATAAGCTTAGTCTTAATGCAAAGTTTTTATTGTTTCTTTAGAACTTAGAAGATCCTGAGAATTCGAGCCAGCCACAGGGTGACCCACAGGGGCCTTCAGATAAGGAGGTCAATGGCACAAGAAAGTGGTTACCAGAAGTCAGTCCCAAGCGGGCAGGGCTGGTTAAGATAACTAATAGGGAGACTTACTTTTGGCTGCTTTCCATTCTGTAGCCTGAGTTTTGCACTATGAACATGTATTTACATTGTTACAAAATACATTTTTATGAAATTTACAGAGATCATCACTGACCCTGACAAGATTCATTTAAGTATAATATGGGAGGGAAAAAAACTCCAAAATAGACTGCAACAGGCTGAGAATGACCCAAGGAAGAGAAAATGGAGAAATTAACTGAAAGCATCTCTTTTGAGAAGTCTGCTCACAGGGGATGAGAAAGGTAGTTGCTTGACAAGATGTGAGGTGGTGTTCTTTTGTTCTGAAGGAAGCATTTTGAAGTATTGATGAGAAAGAGGTAGTGGGAGTTAGGTTAACCATGCCGATGGCCAAGGAGGTAACTCCGGAGGCAGCGGAAGGTCTGCAGGCCGGAGTGTGCCGTCTCCGAGCAGAAGGGTACACCGTCAGCAGGTGATCGGACAGGCTTTGTATCACCACCCAAATCTCATCTTGAATTGTAATCCCCATAATCCCTGTGTGTCATGAGAGGAGCCAGGAAGCGGTAACTGAATCATGGGGGCGGTTTCCCCATTCGGTTCTCATGATAGGGCTCTCACCAGATCTGATGGTTTTATAAGGGGCTCTTTCCCCTTCACTCAGAACTTTTCCTTCCTGCCACCTTGTGAAGAAAGTGTCTTGCTCTCTTTCCCTTTGCTTTCTGCCATAACTGTTAAGTTTCCTGAGGCCTCCCCAGCCATGCTGAACTGTGAGTCAATTCAACCTCTTTCCTTTATAAATTACCCAGTCTTGGGCAGTTCTTTATAGCAGCATGAAGATGGACCAGGGATGTCTCATACTAGACAGGGATACTTCCTCCTTTCGTCTTCCCACACCCAGGCCTGGGGCAGAGGGGAAGCTGCTCCAGGATGGGCTTGAGTAGTTGAAGCCAATCACAAAATCCCTGCTCCTCAGACACACTACGGTCCAGAACCTGAGGCTGGCCAATACGACCGAAGGAGGCATTTGATGGGGCTTAAAAAAGGCTCCCACCCCTCTGAAGGAGTTGCAGGAAGCCACTTCTTCCTGCTGATGAAAGGGAATGCAAATGTGTACGGACCCAACTGCCACTGCAGCCATCCTGCTGCCACAAGGGGACCTGCCCTAGCATGTAACCAACAGCTGGATGGGGAGCAGAGAGATGAAAAGCTCCTGGATCCTTGAGGAGGTCACAGAGCTGCAGGATCCACCAGCCCTGAAGCCTGCCCTTCACCTGGACTTCCAGGAAAAAGCCACATTAAGTCAGGCTTTCTGGTGTTCACAATCTGGAACTCTCTCGCTGACAAACATCCCTTGCAGTGTGACAGGAGGAACAGGACAAATGGCGAGGGAGGAATTGAGGGAGATGACGTTGGATGGAATGTTTACATTTCCTCTGTACAATGAAAAGATTTCGATGCTAAGAGTGAGGGGGAGCTTCGAGGAAGACAGAGCTTAGGTAGAGGGATGAAGCCTGGAGCTGGCGGTTCAGGGCACTGGGAAGGAGCTGCCTAGAGCGACAGGGAGCCTGGCGGGTGGTGCTGAGCACCAGATGAGGGTGTTGAGACATCTGCCAGCTGCAAACAGCACAAGGCTGTTTCACTTGCCCAAGAACCCCTCTTGTGGGGACAGCATCCGGGTTTGCTGTGGTGGATGGACAGGACAAGTGGGAAAAGCATAGTGGGCATCAGCACAGCAGTGGTTGAAGGGATGAACCCCAAGGTCTAGGCTGCACTTGGGAGGGAGTGAACAGAGGAAGGGGCTGATGGGTAAAACAAAAAAGAAAAAACAAAAGGATGAGAAGCTAGATGCCTCCACGAATCAGGGTACGGGAACTGAAGAGCACCAAGGCGACAATGCAGAGAAGGTGTCTCCAGAATAACACAAAGCAGGGATCTGGACCCAGCACCCTCCATGCCCTGAGCTGCCAGCCTGAGCTCTGGAGTGTTGTTTCAGGATTAGTTGCAGTGGGTAAGTTCGAATGAAGCCGGATAGACACAGATAAGAACTCAGAGGGACCTAATTCTTCCTGCATCACCCAGAACCATGTGCACATGGGTAGGCTAGAGGGGACGTGTTCTTAAGTTTGTGCTGATGTTTCTGAAAGGGAATGGAGACCCTGCAAAGGAGAAATGGAGGACACAGTAAGAAAAGCATCCCTTAAACTGGTCTGTGTAAAGAACTCACCTCTGTATTCATCTTGGTCTCTTCCTTTGGTAGCTGTAAAGACAAAAGCAGAGGTTCAGGTCCCTGGGGGCACCTGCCAAAACTCCATGCAAACACTCCACTTTGCCACGCCACGCTCCCCCACTGCTTCCTGTCTCATCGGTCTCATCTTCCCCAAATGTCTTTACCACCTGTGCCTTCCAGCCAGGGTACCCAGGCTGGTGACTACTTTGGGGCTAGTGATGGCTGACTTCCCTGGGACGTCACACCAGCATTGCTTCCTTAGAGAAGGGCATTTCCACCCCCAGGTCCATCTCCTACATTGGAAGAGCAGCTGCAATTGTGATGCCTCCACGGGGATACAATTCCCAAAGCTGGTGCTTGAAGAGGACAGCTTTTTATCGTTTTTTTTTTTTTTTTAATTGAAATGGAGACAAGCAAGGAAATAAGAAATACATACTTACTATTTTTTTTCTTCCTAGCTGAGTTTCCAGAGGACTGCAGTTTAATCTGTTCAAAGAACAGTCCAAGAAGCCACTCTGGACCCTCAGCATTAAGACAAAGGATGGAGGGGGCAAACAGGTGAGCAGGGGTAGCAAGGAAGGAGGGGCAACAAGAGGAGATGAGGGGAGACCAGAGAGGGAAGGAAAAGGAAGACAGCGACTGCATGGCTTAACAGGGATCCCCAACTTTAGTGTACACCTGGGATTCTTGTTGAAAATGTATATTTCTGGGTTCTGCTGCCAGATTCTGATCCAGAAGGCCTAGAGTGGAGGGGAGGCCACGAATCTGCATTTTTACCAAGTATCCAGGGAAATGTGCACAGATGGTCGGGAGGCACGCTGGAGAAACACTGGAATGGCAGTAGAACAGAGGCCTGTAAAGATTAACATTTTCCCTCACTTTTTAGAGCCACTAGAATTGCCACTATATTTTAACTAAAACTGGGCAGGCACGGGCAGGCAAATGGATAACCAGAGGTGATGAAAAATGCACTACAGATGCCTTTCCAGCCCCTCCACCTGCATGGGCTGTCCAGGAAGCCAGTGCCGACGACCACTCCTAGTTTGCAGAGGGCAGGGGCCTCTGAAAAGGGAAGGCGTGGCAACCCCTGGCCTTGGACCCAGCACAGCATTTGACCTTATTCTCTTTGGTTAAGCACAGGAATGATAACCATGAATGACAGTGAAATAACCACCCCCATTCCAAAAAACAAACCAAACCTTGACTCCTGGCAACCTTAGGACTGACTACCTGGGGAAGGGTGTGTGGGTGACTGTGTGGGCTGTGTCGAAAAGAGCCTGCTTTCAGCAACTCCCCTCCCTTCTCTCTTCTCATTCCTCCTCCTGCTTTGAGAATGGGTCTCATGGCCCAACCTGGCTAGCACACATGATGCCTTTCCTTTTGCAGCCTGGAGCCTTTTCACATCTCCTGAAAAAAATCTCAAAAAGGGAACTTGCTAGAAGAAAAACTCCAAAAAGCAGAATGTAACAGAGAAAGTGGACTTTCTTCTCAGATCCTAGGAAGGCAGTATAGGTGTGATGTCTTTTTTTTTGGGGGGACAGTCTGGCTCTATTGCCCATGAGGAATGGAGTGCAGTGCAGTGGCACACTCTTGGCTCACTGCAACCTCCACCTCCTAGGTTCAAGTAAGTCTCCTGCCTCAGCCTCCCAAGTAGCTGGGATTACAGGTGCATGCCACCATGCCTGGCTAACTTTTTTTTTTGTACTTTTCGTATAGATGGGGTTTCACCATGCTGGCCAGGCTGGTCTTGAACTTCTGACCTTGTAATCCACCCTTGGCCTCCCAAAGTGCTGGGATTACAGGTGTGAGCCACTGCGCCTGGCCTGTGTGATGTCTTTTTATGCATAAAACATATCAGAAAGGCCAGGCATCGTGGCTTATGCCTGTAATCCAAGCACTGTGGGAGGCTGAGGTGGGAGGATCACTTGAGCCCAGGAGTCCGAGACCAGCCTGGGCAACAAGGCGAGACCCTCTCTTTACTTAAAAAATTAAAAAATTCACCAGGCATTGTGGTATGCGCATATAGTCCTAGCTACTTGGGAGGCTGAGGCAGGATTGCTTGAGCCCAGGAATTTGAGGCTGCAGTGAGCTATGATCATGCCACTCACAGAGTGACAGAGACCCTATCTCTCTCTATCTCTCTCTTTTTTTTTAAACAATTTTGTACCCAGATGAGAGACTCTGTCTCATATTTTAAAAAATCTCAAAAGGAGATTTGACCCGTAGTCACTGAGAGCTGACCCGTAGGTGGTGTGTCGGGTGGGAGCCCCTGCACTAAGTGGAGGGTGTGTGAAGACACAGGAGCCAGAAGGTCCCCAGCAAGCATGGTCTGCTCACCCTCCCCTGGCTACCTGGAGGCCCCACAGAGATGCACTCCCCAACACCCTACTATGCTTTACTTCCGTTTTTAAGAACTTTCATTCAGGCCTCCCTTGGAGCTTGCACATAAGAGTCAAATAACAGAACACACAAATGTGAGGATGGATCTGTTCTCATCTAGTGCATACACATTAACCCTAATCCTCAGAACCCTGGCAAAAAAAAAAAAAGCTAGAATTAATTCCATTTAACAGACAAAGTAGCTGGAGTTCAGGGAGGGTAAATACCCTGCCTCAGAGCCAAGGCGCTGCAGCACTGCCCTGCAACGTCCAGACTTTCTCGTTCTAGACTCAAACCCCAGGCCGTGCCCGAGGCCTTGACAGGTCCTGTCTTACATTCACCCAGAGAGCTTCAATGATAAACAGGAGACCTGGTGTCCAGTCCTGTCAGTCCTGAACTACCCAAGCAACTACGATGGTCAGACGGGTTCCTCAGCTGTAGGCTAAATGGCTGGACTTCATCTCTAAGATCTGCTCCTGCTGTAACTTGCTCTCTGGTTCCCAGAAAGGAAATTCAGATAACTCTCAGTCATGATCACAGAATGTAAATTAGGATGACTGCAAGAAGGCCTATCCGACTGACAGATCAAAACGTTTGCTAGAGTGTGCTGCTAAAGTGTGGTCAGGAATACACTCTGACATTACTGGGGGGGGGGCTGCAGGTGGGCAGCGTCTCTGTGGAAGGCAGTGTAGCCATAGCTGTTAAAATTCCAATCTGACCGGGCAATTCTACTGCTTCCTATTTCTGTCTCCAGCCCCAAACTACATTCAGAAGGAACTGCCCTGAATCCTTGGACCTTGTAGAAATTTCACTACTGCGTGCTTTCCCTTTCTAATGAGAACTTAGAGGAAAGCTTTCCTATAGACGTGGTCTACAAAACATTACACATAATCTTTATTGTTTCCCTACGTAATCTGGGGAAAGCAAAACAAAAGAAAGCCGACAAACAAAAGGATGTGGAGAGGTGCATATGCCTGAGAAAGCAGCCACCCAGAACCACACTGGGCATCAGGGGAGTGCCACCTACAATCAATTGCATTGCTGTTTGTTTACTTTTCAGGAACAGGAATTCGCTCTTTACCCAGACTGGAATGCAGTGGCACATGTGATCACAGCTCACTGCAACCTCGAACTCCTGGGCTCGGGGGATCCTCCTGCCTCAGCCTCCCAAAGATCTGCGATTGCAGGCATGAGTCACTGCACCTGACCACATTGCTGTTTTAAAAGCACATTCAGATGGGGTACCCTAGCTAGTTGCTTACAGAGCTTTGAGTGACTGGCAGGACCTGCCATGGTCACAAAACTGCAAAGGGCAGATGTATCCTTTCTGTGCTATTTCCCCTTCTGCTTTCAACTCCCCCTTATTATAAGACGCACTGTCAGGAGAGGCAGCAGCCATAGGCCAGGCAAGATCTGTCTCCACCTTCCAGCTCTGCGCCTGCCCGTCACACAGCTCCCTCTCCTTTCCTCCCCATCGTCTGGCCAGGACCAGTTAAACTCTGAACAGAATGCAGGAGGAACTTTATTCTGTACTTTAATATATCTGAAAATATCTAAGACCTATTTCTATAACAAAAAGGTTTTGATTTGTTTAGTTTTCCTTTTTTTATTTAAATTTCAAAGGTTTAGTATTGAAACGGTCAAACACAAAAACATTCTGTTTTCTAACTTTTAGTATAATGTTGAGAAAGATTTTCCCAAAAGACTTATATTAAATAGATATATTTTTATTTCCTTTTAGATTTTTAACTTTTCTTTTTTTCTTTTGAAATGGAGTTTCACTCTTGTCACCCAGGCTGGAGTGCAGTGGTACAGTCTCGGCTCACTGCAACCTCTGCCTCCCGGGTTCAAGCCATTCTCCCGGCTCAGCCTCCTGAGTAGCTGGGATTACAGGCACATACCACCATGCCCAACTAATTTTTATATTTTTAGTAGAAACGGGGTATTGCCATGTTGGCCAGGCTGGTCTTGAACCCCTGACCTAAGGTGATCCAGTTGCCTTGGCCTCCCAAAGTTCTGGAATTACAGGTGTGAGCCACGGTGCCTGGCCTTAACTTTTCTTTCTTTATCTATATATATTTTAAATCAAATCTAAATAGTATTTTGGTATATGGCATGAGATAAGGCTCCAACTTTACATTTCGCCAAATAATTGAGTTGTTTCTACATTATTTATTGACCGTTTCATCTTTTCCCCCAGTGACTCTGCACTTACATTTTTATGAATACAGTTGTTCTTTTTCACTTTTTCTGCTGTGCCACAGACCTCGATTACCATGCTTATTACATACTGTTTACATTATACGGCTTTACCGTGTTTCAATACCTGGCAATTCAAGTTCTCTCATTAATCTTGTTCAGTATTACTATATATTCTTACTTGCCTAGACCTCCATATTAATTTTAGAACATCTTATCAAGTTAAAAAATTCCAGTGGGACTGTGACTGTGACTACGAATGCATCAAATTTATATATTAAATTAGGCTGAATTAAGAAGCCTTCCCATCCAGAAACATGGTATTCCTTTCTAGGAGCAGCCACTTTAAAAATAAATAAATAGGCTGGGTGAGGAGGCTCCTGTCTTTGGGAGGCCGAGGGGGGCAGATCACTTGAGGCCAGGAGTTCAAGATCAGCCTGGGCAACATGGTGAAACCCTGTCTCTACTAAAATTACAAAAATTAGCAAGGGGTGGTGGCACGACCCTGTAATACCAGCTGTTCGGGAGGCTGAGACATGAGAATCACTGGGTTGGGGGGGGTGCGTGGTGGGGGGTGGGCAGAGGTTGCAGTAAGCTGAGATCACACCACTGCACTCCAGCTTGGGTCACAGAGCAAGGCTCTGTCTCTAAATGAACAAATAATTTTAAAAGAAGAATCTTGAGTTAGTTCCTGAATTATTGCGTAATGACAAATAACAGCTCAGGCTGCAGTGGCTCACAGGAAGTGGAAAGAAAAAAGTCAACACCTTTGTAGAAGCAACTTGCTTAAAGCAATTGAAAGCAGGTTTCTCCTCCCCCCTATTATCTATTGCAGCTGGTCTGCACAACAGTCTTGGAGTTTGAGCCTTTATTTGCTTTGACCCCAAAACACAATGGATTCAGGTGCACAGAGATGAGCTGTCTTTCTAAGTGATGAAGAGCCAGCCTGTGACCCCAGAGTTCTAGACCTAGCTTGGCACCCACTAGTTGTGTGATCAAGAGTAGGGCATGGGGTCCCTTGTGCCTTAGTGTCTGCACCTTGACATAGGAGAGGGGGCAGATGAACTTAGATGACCCTTATGTTCTTTTTCTGTGCTAACATGCTATCACTTTAACCCACTTTACTTCTTTTTTGCGGGGAGGTTCTCTTTCAGTTTAACTTTCTTGGTATCTGGCTTGGTTAACTGAAGGTTTTTAGCTTCTCTTCTGGCTCTGCAAGCAAACTAGGTTGAGGCTCAAGTTGCAGTCATCAAGGCCCCAGGGACAAAAGTGCTGTACGGACAAGGCTTTTCCCCGGCACTCTGCCAAGGAGAAACCAGCCTCTTCCTCACCCCACCTTTCCACCCACCCCCATCTGCTCTATGTCTCACATTTTCTTCCTCCTGACCACTTCAAAAGCTTCTACCTTTTACTGAAAGTGATCTTAATATAACGAGAGAAATGAGACGAGGTCAATTACTTTCACTAAAGCCTACCGTATTTAAACTTAGAAGGGCATAATCATGTTTGAAAAGAGCTGCTTATTAACTCAAATATTTGTAGAACAATGTGCAACTCAATTTCAAAATTGGGTTGAAGGCAGGACTTTTCTGGAGTTCTTGGGCATTGACCGCCCCCAGAAGGTTCAGGTCATAACTGCTCCCTTATTGCTGAAAGATGAGTTCTGCCCAGCGGAGTGCTACAGGTACTGCCTACACAGGCACGACTCACAAGTGCGGGGGTGGGCAGGGGAAGGAATACAAACCTTCCACATAGCCAAAATATGTGTGGGCCTAACTTTTGTGTCTAGCATTTTAATAGTTCAATAATTATGCTTTCAAAGGTCTCTAGAGAGAACATCTTTTTTCAGCAGACCAAGATTTTTTACAAGCAAGATTTCACGATGTGTTATCTGCATCCTCAATATGAATTACATAAAAAATTGTATTCTCTACACTGACTATATCAGGTTCTTTCACTCTTTTGTTTTCCCTTAGATTTTTTTAAGGTACTTCAAGTTCTCAGATTTCAGGTGAGGAACTTCAAGGCCTTTTTAAAGTCTGAGGTTTTCTGAATTTGTAAAAGAGAAACAGCTAAGTTAGAAGAAAAAAATCATATGTGCAAGTGCGAGTTATATAAGATATCCAACGATTTACTGAGTCATCAGCAAATATTTGTTTTAGCACAACAGACAGCACACATGAACTGAAATAGGGTGGACAGAAAAAAAAAAAAACTAAAGAGATCCTGTAGCACCTAAAAAGAGACACAAGTCTGGAAATACATACATCAAAATATTAACAGTAATTATATCTGAGTGGTGGAACTTTTAGTGACTTACTTTCTTTTTGCTTACCTATATACTTTAAACTTTTCTATAAAGGTTAGTTAACATAATTATTCAAAACTCTAAAAACCATTACAAATTATGCCATATTCACTGACTGCATCCCTCCTAGGGGTACTTCAAGTTCTCAGATTAACTTGAAGTTAATTAAGTTCAAGTTCTCTTAATTAAACACAGGGCAATAACATATCAAGGTGCTCTGATAATGAAGTGTAAGAAACTTTTCTCTATAGTTGAGATTCAGGAAAGGCTCCGCTTCCTTCAAGGCCATTAACATTTGGGGGATCAATGAATGAATGAATGAATGAAGTTGCTATGTATGTTTTACTTTCAAATGACAAGAACCATGTAACTGACCAAGTTTACCTTTCTAGAAACAAATTTGAGATTCAACTACAAAAATAGAGGCCTGCACTGACCTATAAGGGAGCAGCTAGACAGAATGGCTATTGAAATGTAAATTAATTAAATATAGCATATTTTCATAGTCACGGAAAATTCTATTGTATGGCACTTTATTCTTTTTTCCCTTGGACTAATTTCTTGTACTTATACTTTCTCTCATCTCAATTCCTGGTCATATTTATCTTCTATTTATTTGTTACTATTCTATGTGATTTTGTTGCAAATGACCTTAATTCCTTTGTGGAACAATTTGGGACACTGTACTTTTGAAACATGGGTGTGTATATATATCACTGTTCTTGAGAGTTCAACCTTGGTTTCTGACCAAGGCAGACCTAGCAGCCCGTAGAATGTAGCTATTTGCTCATAGCTCAAAGACTCAAGAGAGGCTGGGTGAAGTGGCTCATGCCTGTAATCCCAGCACTTTGGGTGGTTGAGGTGGGTGGATTTCTTGAGGTCAGGAGTTTGAGACCAGCCTGGCCAACATGGTGAGACCCCGTCTCTACTAGAAATAGAAAAGTTAGCCGGGCGTGGTGCCACAGGCCTATAATCCCAGCTACTAGGGAAGCTGAAGCAGAAGAATCACTTGAACCTGGGAGGCGGTTGTTGGAGTGAGTCAAGATTGTGTCACTGCACTCCAGCCTGGGCAACAAGAGCAAGACTCTGTCTCCAGAAAAAAAAAAAAAAAAAAAAAATATATATATATATATATATATATATATATATAAATAATATTATATAATTATATATAATACATATAATTATATTTTATATATATAATATTATATATATATATTTTTCTCATTCTGATTCCTCGGCTTTCTGAGTAGCTGGGGTTACAGGCAAGCACCACCATACCCAGCTAATTTATATATTTATTTTATTATATATATATTTATATATATTATATATTTATTTTATATATATATTGAATATATATATATCTAGAACATATTAAAGGTTATTTCTTTTTCTTGCATTTCCAGAAAAGCCTCCTAAAAAATATATATGTAAAATATATAATATATATAACTATGTATATAAAATTAATATATAATATATACAAATATATATATAAAATAAAATAAATATATAAACTAGCTGGGTATGGTGGTGCTTGCCTATAACCCCAACTACTCAGGAAGCTGAGGAATGAGAATCACTTGAACCCAGGAGACAGAGGTTGCAGTGAGCCAAGATGGTGTTGCTGTGCTCCAGTCTGAACCACATAGGAGACTCTGTGCCAACAAAATAGGACTCCTTTGGGAGGCCGAGGTGGGTAGATCACAAGGTCAGGAGTTTGAGACCAGATTGGCCAACATAGTGAAACCACATCTCTACTAAAAAAATACAAAAATTATCCAGGCACGGTGGCGTGGACCTGTAATCCCAGCTACTCAGGAGGCTGAGGTGGGAGAATTGCTTGAACCAGGGAGGCGGAGGTTACAGTGAGCCAAGATCACACCACTGCACTCCAGTTTGGGTGACAGAGCAAGACTCTGCCTCAAAAAAAAAAAAAAAAAGACTCAAGAGAACATTGTCAGGAACTAAGCTCCCCTGTCCAAAGGCACTATATTCAGTATTTTAAAAAAATAAACAAAAATGTATATACTGTCCATTAATGAAAAGTTTTACTATTTGATTAAAGCTTAATTTGAAGCTGAGTAATGAAATGTCTTTTTCAAATGCCAAAATATATGGCTATCAACTTATTTCTAAATCTTATATGATTTATGACAAAAAAACAAATGCCCCAATCTGTTACCACTGATACATATATGCGATCATGTAATCAGAGTCCTGGATACGCCAAGGAGAATCAGGAATAAAAATGCTGCCGTGGCTCCTACACTGTGATTCCCTGCCAGCCCACGGCACTGGTGGAGTGTCACCTCTACGCAGAAGCCCATGCAAGTCTGAGTATTTTACCAGATTTTCAGTTCTGTAAAAAATGACTGGGAGTAGTAAGCAGTGTAGATCAAAGAGTAAATACAATGAGAACAGAGATGAAAATTAATAAATGTGGCCCAAAGTGGCAGATCTTTGACTCTACTCAGATGCTAACTGGGTAGGCAGCGGGTACAGAGAATAAAAAAGTAAAGATCACATATGAAATGTGGGAAAACACACTGAGAATTATTCCTAAAAGTTCAAGTATAATTAGGGCGCCTTTCGTAAATTTTAGCTCTCTGGCTACACAATCTGCCTTATGATACTGTCTAATATTTGACTTAAGTTTGTGATTTATGGAATGCATAATGTTAAGGGAAGGATGAGCATATTTATCAATACAATCTTTTGGGAAATAATTAGCAATATACCAATACCTTTATTTCCATAATTTAAATAACTTATTGGAAATCGTATTATAGGACCTACATTAATGATGGAAAATCTTCAGCAGTGTTGCTTGCTTTGTAGGTGGTGATTATGACTGCTACCATTTACTGAATCCTTCCCATGCTGAAAACCCTACTGTAAGCTATTTATGCTCGGTAAGTCATTTATTCTTCAGGGCCATTTAACCAAGTAAGCATTATGATTATCCCCACTTTTACAGGTGAGAAAACTGAGGCACCAAGATTAGATCGCACAGCGGTATAACAGGATGGAAAACTCCTATCATTTAACGAGCGTTAAGTGAAAAAAATTAGTATCCAAAACTGTAACTCTGATGCTGCAAATCCTTTTTATCATTTAAGTAGCTGTGAGGGTTGGGGTTAGGGTTCGGGTTAATACCCTAACCTAATTATTAGCCCTGTTTCTGAGTACTTCATATGTAGAGTGCACTTTACAGAACACTGTCATGTAATCCTCAAACCATGTAATCAATCAATGTAAATGAATTGATAAGTTTCCAGTTTCCAAAGACGAAAGCGGAGATAGGAGAGGCCAAGTGCCTGCGCCGCGCCAGGTTCGTCCCCGCGGAGCGGACCTCAGGGCGTCCCGGGCAGGTCCCGGCCGAGCTCGCGGCTCCGCGGTGGCGACGCCCGGGCCCAGCCGCTCGAGCTCCCGGAGCCGCCGGACTACGCGGCACGCCGGACGCCGAGCCTGCTCGCCCGGGTCTACATAAAAACCGAAGCCACGGGCAATCTCAACAGACACGGAGACTTAATTTTTTAGACCGTCTTTTGTGTATTTGAGAAAACCCCTCGTCGGGATCCGGGCCGCGGGGCCTCTGACCGCGTCCTCGCGCCGGGCCCGGGCGGGGCCGGGCGGGGCGGGGCAGGCGGCGCCCAGGCTGCGTCCCGGCTCTCGCAGTAGCGGGCCCGGGCCTCCCGCGGGCCTGGGGCTTCGAGCTCAGGCCGAGCGCTCTATGGAAGCCGCGCTCGACCCCCGCTCCCCCGCGTGCGACCCCCGTTCCTCGCGCGCGCCTCACCTGACCCGTGTACCGCTCTCCGTGCAGCCTTCGGGCGCCGCCGGCTTTGCGGACCGGGGCGGGATCCCAGCTCCGATTGGCTGCCCGGCTGGGTGGCGGGGACCGGGAGGGGACGGGAGGTGGAGGGGAAGAGAGAGGACGGGAAGGGGAGGGAGGGGCCCGGCCTCGCGCGGTCGCGCGTGAGAAGCCGGCCTCTGCGCCCTGGGCCTGGCGCCTGGGGCCGTGAGAACTGCCCGTGCGCCTGCCCTGTTCTCTGCACCCAGCTTGGTGGCGAGGGTGGGTGGTAGGTGCTCGCCGATCGGAGGGCGTAAGAAGTGGCCGAGCCCCTCACGGTGTGCCTGGCCCCAGCGTGGGGGTGTCGCATCCCTCTTACCCGGCCCCCACTCACCACGTAGAACCCACTGGGTCCCTTTGGTATTAGTGGCCCCGGCCCGACTGAACCGGCGCCGAGGCTTCCTTGAGTTCTTCGTGTAATTCTGAGAGCGGAGTGAATATCCAGGAGGCCGGTGTCCTGCTCTTGGGTAGCTAGGAAGTGAACGGTGCCCTAGGGAACTGCCTGGGCTCTTACCCACCTGGGAATGGGCTTGTTGGGGATCCCGACGTGGTAAAAGCCAGGGAGCTTCTAGCCTAGCAGGGCTGGGGGAGAAACTAGGTAGAGAGGTGGGTTAGGCTGAAGAACAGAGATCTCTTTGATCTTAAAAGCAGCGTTCTGACTGGTAGGGTTGACCGGCATTTCGCCCTCCAAAAACGTTCTTGTACTTTATTCCATGACCTGACAAGCCTGCTTAAGTGAGGTTTTGTTGGGTGCCAAGAGAGAAAGGTTTGGCTTTGAATTCATCTCCAGGCGGGGCCTGTCTCCTGAACTCCATACTTCCCTATCCAGCTGCCTAGGTAATACCTCCTCTTGGATCTCTACAATAAATTTCAATCTCAACACATCCCAATCTGTGCCCTTGATGTCTTCCCCATAGCATCACCATCTCAATGGCAACTCCATCTTCCAGGTGTAAAGGACAGAAACCTTGCTGTTACCCGGCACTCAGCTTTCTCTCACATTTCACCTCCAGGGCCCAAAAATTCTGTTGGTTGGACCTCCCTAGCATACTCAGAGCCCGACCACTTCTTACCTCTGCCTCCATCATCTCCCACCTTGGTCACGACAGTGGTCTCTTCCCCGATCTCCCTGCAGTCTGTCCCTATACAGCAGCCATAGTGACCCTAAAGAAAGCCAAATCCAATTCCTCTTCTGCTCGAAACCTTCCCAGGGGTTTCCCAAACTCAGAGTAAAAGCCAAAGCCCTTCACGATTGCCCCTCTGTTACCTCTGCAGCCTCATCTGCTACTGCCTCCCCACTGCCTCACTCTGCTCCAGTCACTCTGGCCTCTGTGCTATTTCTTTTTTCTTTGGAGACGGAGTCTCGCTCTACTGCCCATGGTGGAGTGCAGTGGCACGACCTTGGCTCGCTGCAACCTCCACCTCTGGGGTTCAAGTGATTCTCCTGCCTCAACCTCCCGAGTAGCTGGGATTACAGGCATGCACCACCATGCCCAGCTAATTTTCTCGTATTTTTAGTAGAGACAGGGTTTCACCAGGTTGGCCAGACTGCTCTCAAACTTCTGACCTCAGGTGATCCACCCACCTTGGCCTCCCAAAGTGTTGGGAATACAGGCGTGAGCCACTGCACCTGTCCCCTCCGTGCTATTTCTTGCGCAAGGCAGACAGGGCTTTGCTGCAGGGTCTTTGCATGGGCTTGCCTCTGTTTGGAATGCATGACTGCTTCTCATGCTTACTGATCTTTGCTCAAATGCTGCCTCATTGAGAACTACCCTGACCACTCCATTCAGAATTGCCACCTGCCCTGCTCCTGACTTATTTGTTTAGCTCCTGACTGAATTTGTTTATTTAGCTTATTGTTTATTATCTGTCTCTTCTATCCTCCTCTCCCTGCTGCTGCCCCTTGGCCCATGATATGTCCTTTCTCAGAAAAATAACTGCCACTAGAGAGGTACCATATTTCCACTGTCAAGGCCTAGGACATAAGCCAAACTCTGGGGTCTGAATGTGTAGTCACTTGAAATAAACCACAAGAGGAAAGTGTGATTCCCCAAAAGGACATGCTGACTGCTGCTGCCAGAAGGGATGCTGGCTGGGCAAAACCACAGATGTTCACTTGCTGAGTCAGACCAGTGCATCCAGAGGAGCTTTGGGAAAGCCTGTGAGAGGGGCCCTCTATGCCCTTGAGAGCAGAGTTGAAGACCTCTAACCCCCTCACTTTTTTGTAATGATGTCTTATGAATGCATTAATTTACTTATCCTTCTAAAGTCTGGTTTTGTATTCAGTTTCTACTTTTTGAGTAAGAGCTTCCTGTTCTACAAAGTGGCGACCCTCTTCAACCTGAAGAACTCTGTGGGAGGTTGGGGGGCAGTAAGACTGCTGGAGGCCACAGGTGACAGAAACCCTACCCAAACAGATTAATAGTCAGGAAGTGTATTAAGGATCCAGCTCCATTCTCTTGTCGTTCCCTCAGCTCTTTTTCCCCATGTGTAACAAAATATGAAAGTATAGATTTTGATTTGGACGACAAGATACACGAATGTCAAATTCTAGGAACAGATCTCCAAGGATATAAGAAGGAATCAGATGGGAATCACCTGTAATTCCAGCACTTTGGGAGGCCTAGGCGGGCAGGTTGCTTGAGGCCAGCCTGAGCAATATAGCAAGACCCCGTCTCTACTAAAAATACAAAAAACAGCCAGGTATGGTGGCATGTACCTGTAGTCCCAGCTAATCCAGGAGGGAGGCTGAGGCATGAGAATCACTTGAACCCGGGAGACAGAGGTTGCAGTGAGACAAGATTGCACCAATACACTCCAGCCTGGGCAACAGAGTGAGACTCTGTCTCAAAATAAATAAATAAATGAAAGTTAAAAAATCAAATAATAAATCAAAAGAAGGAATTAAAGAGTGGAAGGAGGGTTGGGTGAAGAAATCCCTGATGGAGGCCAGGTGCGGTGGCTCATGCCTGTACTCCCAGCACTTTGGGAGGCTGAGGCAGGTGGAACACTTGAGGTCAGGAGTTTGAGACCAGCCTTGGCAACATGGTGAAACCACGTCTCTACTAGAAATACAAAAACTAGCTGGGCACCGTGGGGCATATCTGTAGTCCCAGCTACTCAAGCGCTGATGCAGGAGAATCACTTGAACCAGAATGGCAGAGGTTGCAGTGAGCTAAGATCTCCCCACTTCACTCCAGCCTGGGCGACAGAGTGAGACTCTGTCTCAAAAAAAGAAAAAAGGGCAGGGCATGGTGGCTCATACCTGTAATCCCAGCAGTTTGGGAGGCTGAGGTGGGCAGATAACCTGAGGTCAGGAGTTCAAGACCAGTCTGGCCAACATGGTGAAAACTCATCTCTACTAAAAATACAAAAAGTAATTTAGCTGGGCATGGTGGCACCTGCCTGTAATCCCAGCTACTCAGGAGGCTGAGGCAGGAGAATGGCTTGAACCCAGGAGGCAGAGGTTACAGTGAACTGAGATCATGCCATTTGACTCCAGCCTGGGCGACAAGAGCAAGAAAGACTCTGTCTCAAAAAAAAGAAGGAAAAGAAAAAAGAAATCTCTGATAGAGCTTTGGCTGTGCTGTGAGTCTGAGTTTACCTCCTCCCCACTGAGGGAAGCTTCAGGCAGCCCATTTCCTTCACTTCATGCCTGCAGGCTTCCAGTCATTTGGGGAGCTTGTCAGGGATGTTGGTGCACATGGAGACTCTCTGGTCTGTCATTTACCTCCCACCTGAAAAAGGCAGGCAGTGTGGCTGTCAGCCCACACATGCAGAGGGGTCCCAGGATGCATTTGTGTTTCCCATGGATAAGATATGGATTGTGCAGGAGACAGTTCCCTTGGATCTGGTCCAGTAAGGCTGCCTGGAAGGGCAGGAAGCTGTCAGTGAATGCCAGATATGTAGAGGTGAGGAAGAAGTCACAGTATATCCGCCCAGGAGAATTGCTGGAGAGAGGTCCAGCATGGTCATCTCCAAGGAGTTTATGAATGCTACAGTCCAAAAAATAACATCCTGTATTGCCATAGTCCAGTTCAGGCTACTATAACAATAGTCCAA